TCGAAAAGGCAAACCGCGTGTTAGGGCTCAGTAAGAAGGGAATCGCGAACCAGACAGAAAGCATCATCGTGTCCCTTTACAAACCCATGGGGCATCCACACCTTAATCTTGTGCCCAGCTCTGATCCCTGCACCTCCAAAAGGATACAGAAGAGCTAGAGGGGGGTCCAGAGAAAGGCCACAAGGATGATGAGTGCTACCGAGGGGCTTCCCTAGGAGGAGAGACTGCGGAGGCCAGGCCGGGTCAGTTTAGCAAAGAGACGCTTGAAGGGGGAGAAGAGAAGGGTTTACAAAATATACTAAATGGCAAAGAGAAACTCAGCAGGGATTTAGTATCGACAGTCTCTCACCAGACAAGAACTGGGGGTCACACAACGAAAATAGTAGGGTGTAAGTTTAAAATGAACACCGCGCCGTTCTTCTTCACCTAGCGTGGAATTAAAGTGCGGGACTCATTGCCACCAGATGCGGGGGAAGCCGAGAGCATAGCCAGATCCCAAAAGGGGCTGGAGAGGTTCTTGGAGGAAAGGGGCATTGGTCACTATGGAGCAGGGGAGTGAGGGGCACGGCCTCAGTCTCAGCTTCCTAGACCTTAATGCTGGAAGCTGCAAGGGAGAGGAACAGGGGAAAACCCTGCTCAGACCCAGGTCGCTTTCTCTTTCAACATCTGCTCACTGCCGCTGTGTAACCCAGCCAGGAGAGACTGGGTTTGACCCAGTCCACGGCAGTTCTGGCGCTCTGATGTGATGGCCTTGCACATAAGGATGATTACCGGTGTACTGAGAGCAGGGCGGAGGGAGGGGGGCTTTAATTTGGAGGGGAATCGTTTATTCAGGCTTGAGAAACTGCAAATGTGAGCTCACGCCCTGACTAGTTTTAGCTCAAAACAAGAGATGTTTGGGTCGGAAGAGACCTATGAGATCATCGAGCCCGACCCCTGCCCTGGGCAGGAACGAGCACTGGGGTCAGACGACCCCAGCCAGGTGTTTGTCCAATTTTTCTTTCTTTTAAAAAAAAGCCAACTTTTTTCCTTCAGAGACCCCGTCAAAAGCCTCAGTTTGGCCTGGTGCATCTACAGCACCCAGAGATAATCATGAAAAAAGATTAAAATTGAGCATCCACCACCCAGCTTGAATATTGCAGCTTCATGGGGTGCCTGAGCGCTGGCAGGAGGGTTGCTGCAGCTGGGACGGGCCGGCAGATGCCCGAAAGGCGAGGCCCGTGTGGGGTATCTTTTACGGGCCGCGTGTCGAACTGGGGGAGCTGTTGGATGAGCTCTCCCCCAGGGCCCGGCTTGCCTCGGCGCCGCAGCAGTCTTCCCCAGGGGAGGCTGGAAACTTGCTTTATTTTTTAAAACAAAGCAAGCAGCCGTGATGCCCGTGTGCCCGCAGGATCCCAGGGGCCGGGGGCTACCTCCGTACTCCCGGCAGCCCCCAAAAGAGAGCAGGTTGGAGCCTAAAGCCCCCAGGGCAGGGCCGGGCCAATGTCAAGGGGAGGCGCAGGCCCCCAGTGTGGGTTTTGGGGGGTCCCGTGCTCAGTTTAGTGGGGGCTGAACCGAAGAGTAGACACATCCCCCAGCCGCTGGGGGACGACAGAGACGGGGCAGCCCCAGGGAGGGGGCCTGAGCCTGGCACACGCATGCACACCCGCGTGCCAGGGCAGGAGTCTGGCTCAGGTTGCAGAACACGCCCAAGCCACCGGCAGCCGTCCCCATGGCAACTCCGAGCCTGCCCGTGCCGACAAAATGGCTGATGTGGGCTCGGGCCTGGAGGGGCCAGACCTGGGGGCGCTGAGCCCCGAGCAGCAGGCGCGGCTGCTGGAGCTCAAGGTGCGTGTCGCGTGCATGGCGGGGACACGCTCCTGCCACGGGGAAGGGTCTCCCCTCCTTGCCACGCAGGGGAAAGGGGGCTTGAGCATCCCCCGGTCCAGACCCGGATGCTCTGAGCTGCATCCCTGCGACGCGGAGGAGGAAACCCTGCCTGGGACACAGCCCCCCTGGCTGGCCCGTCACCCCCTTGCAAGGACTTGGGGCTCTGGCCAGGGGGGCAATTCCTGCCTCGTCTTTGCCCCTGAGTGGGGCAGCACGCGGAGCCCCCCACGGGCTGACACCCCCGTGCGTGGCACCAATTTGCTCAGGGGAACGAGCGCGTTCGCCCCCAGCCTTGACCTCGTTGTCGCCTGCGGCCTGACCTCCAAACACCAGCACCGGGACCGGGGAGGGTGGGAGGATACTCCCACCCAGGTGATCCTTGCTCATGCGGCTCCCCCAGGCAGGAGCTCGAGGGGACCCTCCCGCCTGCAATAACAGCGGTGAAACCCCCCATCCAACATGCAAGAGCCTGGGCCAGCAGAGCCGGATGGAGAGGGGGGCTGAATTCATCACAGAAAACATAGAAACCAGAGAAAAGCCGGGCTGCAAGGGATGATCCTGCCTATTTGGGGTTAGATCAAGGGTGATAGGACCAATGACGGGCCTGAGGAAACCGAGGCACGAGGCTCTATTACAGTCTGTAACAAAACGGAGGCAGACAAAAGTTTCCGGGCTGAAGGTTTCTGCTGGACGGCAGAATTGCTCCAGGATTTATCCGTAGCCCCAGAAACGAGTGGAAGGAAAGCTGGGATTTACCGAGGGGGCCGGGAGTCCCATGAGATGGAGAATCGCTGCAAAAGAGTGATAACCTCTCGCTGCCTCAGTTTCCCCATGCCCATAATTAGCTCTGTAACTCCCAGCAGGTACGACAAGGAGCGAGCGCTAGCACAGAGGCTCAGAGCGTACCCAGCCGCTGTCCCCGACCCCCCGGGTAATGCCTACCCTGTGGCTTCCCTCCCCAGATCAGCACACGCATTGCCAACGAGAGGTACTTGAGGGATCACCGGGAAGTGGAGCTGCTGCTCTCAGGATTCATGAGGTACCGGCCGCGGCCGCGCAGGACAGCCTGAAGATGCCGATGTGGCCCCACCAAGAAACCCATTGCTCTCCCCCATGTCAGAACCTGCCTCGGTTTCCCCCACCCAGGCCAACCAGAGAAACCCAGTCCCCTTGCTTACAGACTTTCAACCCCCTCCCAACACTGTCCAAGGATGACCGGGGTCCTTGTGGTTGCTTTTGATCGCCCTGGGCTTAGCAGATGTTTCTAACTCCCAGCACAGGGTACACCACACTCCAACGTCCTTTCCAGACCCGAGGAGAGGGGCTGTTTCAGCTCAGTGCCTCTCCCCAGCGCTCCCTCATCCCTCCTAGAGCTCAACCCTTTTTGCAGCTCCAGCCTCATTAGCTAGCCTCCCATCAAGCCGGGCCCCAGCCTCCAGGACAGGCAGACTTTTATCTGCTGACCACCTTGCAGCTGGGCTTCCAGCCCTCGAGGGACCAAAATAACGGTGTCCTTGCTCACCGACTGGCTTATCGGTTCCCAGTAAAGAAGGGGCATTTACCAGCTTGGGCCCTGCAACTCTACCCGGACCTGCACCAGAAGCCAGACAGGAGCCATCGGTCAGACTCGGTCCTAAACCCGTGTCCCACCTTTGTTCTGTTTCCCCAGAGAAGTGCTGCTGAGAAGACCAGAGAACATCCCGGAGTTTGCGGCAGGTGAGATGCTTGCACTGACCAGTCAGGCAGGAAGAGCCGGAGGCGATGGCAGATGGCAGAGCAGCACCTTGGTAGGGTGGGGCAGACGCAGAGGTTGCTCTGTGAGCCGATTCGGCCTGGAGGACATGGGTGCACACCCGAAGGGAACCAGGTCCAAATTGAAGTGGGGTAGAAGAGGCCGGAGCTCTTCCAAGCCCTGCCCAGATGTGCAAATCTGAGATGGCAGCTGCAACAGGAAGCACAAGTGTTCCAAGGGCCCGGCTGTCTGCCCAGCTCCTGAGGCTGGATCATGGCATCCTGGCAGGCAGGGAGAGGACCTGGCAGCATCTCCCTAATGCCACCCTCTGAAGGCATCTGCTCTGGTCTCCAGGAGAGTGTTGAAAGGGTTAACAAGGTCCAAGGGGAAATCCTAGGCCTTGGTTCTCTGCCTATGCCACAGGCTCCATAGAGCTAATTCCAGTCCCTATCCCTGAGGTTTCCTTTGCAACCAGCATGGCTCTCAGGGCCAAAATGGTACCTTCCTTCCCCCTTCGTGTCTGCCCATTTGGCTGGGCTGTGGCACACTGACAGCATAGTGCACAGGCTCCTACCAGCTCTGGGGGCAGAGTTAAGGTGACAGGGCAGCACTGGAGCATACTCTAGCACTGCGGTTTCCCAGCTTCCAAAGACTCAAATGGAAGGACATTCTCTTAATTTTGCATGGCAGAGTGCGGAGGCTGGAACGGAGAGTGACCTGGGTCTGAGCAGGGCTTTTCCTCTGTTCTTCTCTCCCCTGCAGCCTCTGGCACTTAGGGTCTGGGCAGTTTTGATTCAAAGGCTGTGCCCCTCACTCCCGTGTTCAATAGCTGCCGATGCCCCTTCTCTTCCAAAAACGTGTCATTTCCTTATGAATCTGGTTGAACTCTCAGCTTCTTCCACATCTGGTGGCAACAAGTCCCACACTTTAATTCTACGCTGGGTGAAAAAGAACTTCCTCTAGTTTTAAACTTACCAGTTTGAATCTATGACCCTTACTTCTTGTGTGGTGAGACAGTGGATACTAAACCCCTACTGACTTTCTCTATGCCATTTAGTATTTTGGAAACCCTTATCCTGCCACACACACACATACGGCCTGGCCTCTGTAATCTCTCCATGCCATGAATCATCATTGCTGCCCTTCTCTAGCTCTACTAGATCCTTTTGAAGGTGTTGGGACCAGAACTGGGCACAGGGTTCAAGGTGTGGATATACCCATCTGTCACAGAGAAGTATGGCATTGGATGGTGAATGCATCTACTGTATTTGTGTGTACAACACAAATAAGATGCGCACCTTGTTTGAAAGGCAGAATGGGGGCCCAAAAGTGCTTGCTGTGAAGCTCATGCAGGCTTACTTTCACCATCTCTAAGCAGAGGATACACAGTAGAAAATGCAATTAATATATATTTTCACTTATAATGCGTACCCCTAATTATCAGCCAGTTTTCTGGGAAGGAAAAAAGGTGCAGGTTGTATTTGAGAAAATACGGTCTTATCTGTGCTTCCCCAGCTGCCCACTGTCTGTCCCTCCATCTGTTGTGCCCCTCACTGCAGTGTCTGGGCACCCAGCAAAAAGATCCACACTTTAGACAAACCTTTTCTTGCCACCATTGGTCACTGGTTCCTGCCTTGCTCTGCCTTTTCAGAACATTTCACCGACCCTGAGCTGCCGATGAAGATCCAGAAGCAACTCATGGAAAAAGTCAATGCGACAGAGAGGCCCAGAGTGCGATAGACACCCAGGAGCATTTCCTTCCTCACATGGTTCCTGGCTTCCCTCTGTGGTTTCTGGCATGCATTTAAGTTGTTGCAATACAGCTCCTAACTCAGCTCTACAGTGTCATCTGGAGGCAGGCAGGTACATGCCAGGCCTGCCTTCCAAGTGCTGCCTCCTTGCTGTGCGTTTTGGATGCTCCTTCAGGTAATCATTAAACCAGGCTTTCTGCCCAACCCGTTTCTGTGTCAGGGAAAAGCAGAGACCATGAAGCTGGAGCATCAGCCAGGCTGGCTCAGGGGTCAGCGGAGATACAGAAAGCAACCGGTTGGTTCCTCGCTAAGCCCCCTCCTGCCTCCACTCACTATGGTCTTTGCTAATGTGTCATCAGGCCTGGGCCCATCTCTGCAACTGATGTGCTACAGGACATTGGTCACGTCCCCTTTCTGCCTTGGTCTTGCTCCCCTTCGCTTAGACAATCAGAGTCTGTCTCTGTGCCAGTCTCTGCCAGCCCAGGGCTCTGGAAGGGAAGGAGGCTCTGGGGACACGTGGGTTTCTGCCACCACCTGCTGGAGGTCTCAGCAGCCACCAGAGGCCAGAACATGGCATGACCCCAGGCTTAGTGTCCCCTCCAGCAACAGCCTCTTTCTTCTCTGCCCGGGGCCAGTAAAGCACACTGGCCTGGCATGTCGGAGCCCTGTGCCCAGCTGTGTGACCCTGATAGGCTCAGCCCAGACCCCTTGTGCCTCAGTTTCCCCATCTGTGGAAGAGGGATGAGAATGCTGACCTGCTGGGCAGACTTCTGCACTCTTGATCTGGATCACCTTGAGGCATCGCTGTGTTCCTATGACCTAACTATAGATGGACCAAGGGCAGCACTTGGGCCAACAACAGGGGAGGATATAGTTTGTATTTGTCTCACACATGTGCTGGTGCATGGGCATATGTACGTATGTACATACACACACATACACACCTTCCGCTCCCCACGTCAGCCTCACAGCAGTTGCCAGAGCCTCTGGGCTACAGAGGATCCAGCTCCAAAGCCCAAGAGGCCTGGATGAAGGAGGCCTGGCCATTTTTCCCTCCCAAATGCCTTCCCACTCCCCTCCATCTGGCTCACAGGCAGGCCTCTCTCTTCTGGCAGGCATCAGGAGCCCTCTCAATGTGTTCAGAGACTTGGCCAAGTGGCTGACAAGAGGCAGAGCCTTTTATTTGTCAATGGGAGCACCCCAGTATTCTGTGAAAACCTGTGGGCTGGACACAGGTAGGAGCTGCAAGGGCAACGATTTGCCCAGACAGTCCATGGAGCTGGAGGGAACCTACCTCCCCTGACCCAGCCATCAGATGCCTCCATGTGTGGCAGGAGAGCCCAGGCTTCATGGGGTTGCAGCATGGATGGGGGTGGAGGGTCCCCGACTGTCCAGTGCCAACAGGGAGTGTGCTGGGACCTAGGAGTCAGGCTCCGAGCTGGTTTCTGTCTGGGCAGCCTGCTTGGCCAGGCACTGCTTGTAGCACTTGGTCTTCGGTCTCTCGAACAGCACAACGGACATGGGGACGCGGACGGTATCCAGCTTATTCACCTGCAGGACATGCCGGAAACAGAGGGATGCGTTAGAGGGCATGACGAAAGGGGCAGATCCCCAAGAGATTGGAAGCCAGTCTAGTTCTACTGCCCCTGGCCTCTGGCTAACACCTGGCATCCTTAGGACAGGACAGCACCAACCCAGCACCTCTAGAGCCCCTTTAGAGACAAGGCATTTTCTGGGCCTGTAGTTTAGAGCCAGAGATGCAGCCCTGGCCCGTACCAATAGGAAATCAGGCTGGCCAATGAAGCAGGCATCTATGCAAATTAGCCCATCAGCAAGGGGATGGCGCTATTGGAGTTTCATGCTCCTCACGAGGGGCTGGGGAGGGACCAAAGCTGAATGGAGACAGGGCTAGTGGGTCGCTGACGTCCTGTCATGTGTCCCCAACCTGCTCCCTCTGAGAGGGATTGGATGGGTGTAGCTCAGCTCTTCATCCCTCCTTGGAGGGGAGGCTGTGTTCCAGGCAGGGGGGGTGGGCACAGATTTAAAAATCAGGGGTGGACTTGCTGGCAGTTGTCATGAGATCAGGGCTGGGCCTGTCTGCTTAGCTAATGTTTCCCTCCCTACTGCCCTTGGTGCACATGGTGATGTCTGCTTCATGGTGGGCACCAACCCAGAAGTGGGTGCATTCCTGAGGGCATCCAGAAGCACTCTGGAGTCTCTTAGGACGCCCTGGTGTGTGGGGGCATCACCTGCTAATTTTGGCTGTCTCACGGGGATTGCAGGCCACGTCACTTTCCTCCTGCCCCAATCAGAAGCAGGGTGGCCACCACTGCACAACACTGAAGGCAGAATAATTAGCTCAGGATGAGCTAGCTGCCTGCAGGCAGTGCTAATTAGCCTGCCCAAAGCTCCCTGCCTGGAGCAGGGTGGTTGCCCAGGGGCACTACACCTGGGCGTTAGCATAGCTCAGTCTCAGCCAGATGCTCCAGAGCAGCAGTGCTCAACCTCTTGGCCCCTTGGCTCAGATGAGTAGTGTGAGGTTTGTCTGCAGGCTGGATCAGGCCCCAAGTCCTGAGACCACCCCCTCCCCACCCTGTGTACTGGGATTGGGCCCTGAGAGCCTGGCACTGCCCCCTGCATGCTGGGATTGGGTCCTGGGGGCCCTAACACCACCCTCTCCCACCCCCTCCTGTTCAGATTGGGTCCTAGAGGTTTGGCACTGCCCCTTTCACCCCCAGACTGGGCCCTGGGCCACCCCCACCTGCCCAGTCCTACAAGCTAGGATGGGGCACCAGATGCAGCATGCAGAGCCTGGGGCTCTCCATGGGTCTGGAGACTTGGCAGCAAGGCAGTGGTGGCACCAATCCTCCCAATGCCAAATTTCTGAACCCAGGGGGAGCCTTGTGGGCCTAATGACACAGTGCTGCCAACTGGAGGTCGGGCACCCCTGCTCCAGAGTTGTTGCATCCCAGAGCAGGCAGGAAGCAGACTCCTTCAGAGCTGAGAACAGGCCTGCCCTCTCCTCAGCTCCAACTCCCTGGGCCTGCTACAGGATGGCAGGGGGAGGGAAAGGAGAGGACAGAAAGGAAGCTGCACTCACCGTCACTTCACACCAGTACTCGCCCCACGTTGTGATGGGCTCATCGGGCAGCTTCACTGCATGTGGCGGCACAAAGACTCTCAGCTGTGGGGGAACCAGTGCTGGTTAACTCTCAGGGTGCCCCCCTCTGCCACAGCAGCCTGTGGGTATTCAACACCTTGAAGGAGGTATCATGGGGTGGTCAAGGGCTGGCCCCTACAAGAGGAAGTGTCAGGAGACGGGGGACAGGGGCGAGGGGGTCACCAGACCCGCCTAGGAGTGGGGGTCTCAAGTGATATGATTGCTAGCAGGGCAGGACAAAGGAGAAGGAGAGAAGGCTGGGAAGAAAAGCCATTCTATGTGCCCCTAGTTATGGAGTTATCACACCAGCCTGCAGGGAGAGAACATGCATCAAAAAGCCCCTGCTGGCTGGTAGTGAGACACAATGGGAGACAGTCAAGCCCCCAGCAACGAACAGCCAGAGAGGACAAGACTTCATCCCTTACCCCACCCCCATCAGATCTCCCCTAAGCCCTTGTGATAAACCCCAAAGCCTCTGTTCCCCAAGTGCCAGCCAGGCTGCTGGAGGGAAACTCACTGTGTCCCACAGAAGAACCAGTCCCCTTCCTACTCCACCCCCCGCCTCAAAGCCCAGCTGGGCACCCACGTTTTTGAAGAAACGACGGGCGACAATCTCAGGGGTGAGCACCCATTTCACATCGCTCTTCATGCCCACTTCCAGGTGGCACTTCTTCAAGAATCTCAGGGTCTGAGGGAAGGCAAGGAACACAAGTCAGGCACAATGCAGGGGCAGGGGGGCAGCAGGGGCATCCACATGACAAACCTCTACCATAAAAACTGAAAGGCAAACAGCAGAGCCCCAGCTACCCACTCCAAGCCAGGAGTCCTGCCGACTGGGGTAGACACACTGGTGAGACAGCATGGGAAATGCGGCCAGTCATACCCACTCCTGAGCTGCTGGCACCTCTTGCTATTACAGAAGCCAAAGCAACTAGTAAGACCTCCCAGTGAAGCCCACCTGGGTATAGCTGCTCCAGGGGAACCTGATCAGGTTCAGAGATGGCTGCTACTGAGATGAAGGCAGAAGCCGAGGGAGACAGCCCCATCCTGGGCACTGCTCAAGGTCTCTTGAGGAAGGTGAAACACCAACAGCAGGACACAGAACCCAGGACCCTCTCGTCCTCACTCTACCCGGGACAAGGTCACTGACGGCTGAGCCCCACAGCTTGGTGTAAAGCACAGAGAAACCATAATGCAGGGACTTTGCTCTCATGGGCTTCTAGTTTCCATCTGGAGGAACAAAACTAAAGGGGCTTCCTAATCAGGCAGAGCTTCCAATGCCAGGCTGAGAGCTGCAATTTCCCTGGCTGATGGTCTCCAGTGCCCTCACAGGCTACTGGAATCACACACACCTCCCCAGTGTCCCCGTTCCCCTCCCCACAGCCAAGCTACTTACCTTTTTCCCAGTCTGGGTTTGCAGCCTCTCCAACTTCCCTTCCTGGCGCAGCTACACGCAGTAAGACAGGCAGAGAAAAATGGTGAATAATCTCAGAGCTGAGCAACGCGTCTGCTTTGTCTCTGCACAACTTCCAGTCTCGGGCCCCTCGACTGCCCATGAGTGACTCATCTGCATCCAGGGGGCTGGGAAAGGGTCTTTTTGCTAGGCCAGGGCAGATCTGATCTCATGGATTCTCACTTCATTCAATAGCCAATGCAGTGACTGGCATAAAATCCCCACTTTCTCCCCCACCTTTTTCTGCCAAGCTTTAGCAGGAAGATTAATATTTCCTGAGTTCATAATGGTTTCTCTGGCCACCTGCAAAGGCTATTTAGATTGAGAGACAATGTAACGAGGTCTCCTGTAAAATAAACTGCTGATTTTAGTCTAATGCTCCATCCCGGGTGTTTCCATCTATGTTTGGAACACTATAAACTGCCCGGCGGGGTTCTGAAGTATCAAACAACTGGCAGCTCACACCCCAAGAGGACAGACACAAGAGGGAAAATACCTGCTGTTAACAAAGATCAAATTAACCCAGTCCCTTTACAACCTTTTTGTTACATGGCTGTGAACAGCCCAAAGCAGCAGTTTCAGCCTGAGGCTGCACTCCCCAAGAGCCTGGTTGAAGACACTAAAACTTTCTGAGGTCCTGATTTTCATAGTTTCGTAGTAGCTAGGGTCAGGAGGAACCTGAACAGTTCATCTAGCCTGCCCCCCTGCCATAGGCAGGAATGAATGCTGGGTTCACAAGACCCCAGACAGGTGATCGTCCAACCTCCTCTTGAATTTGCCCAAGGTAGGGGCGAGGACCACTTCCCTGGGAAGTTGGTTCCAGATTTTGGCCACCCTAACTGTAAAATATTGCCTTCTGATCTCTAACCTAAACCTATTCTCCATCA